AGAAAACTGAAAAACATGATGGACTGGAGACAATGTGTGCATCGCTCAGTCTAAAGTGGCTTCTTTTCTTCATCTCCTTCCCTTCACCTGCACTGATGTGAAAGAGTGGAAACTGTACTGTTTTCAGATCATTGCAGATGAAGGAGAGGACAGAGGAGAGGAAGCCACTTCAAAATTCAGCCGTTTGGACATTGGTCAAATTGAAGGCTCACATCTGATGGGGTGCTTCTTCTTTGAGGTGAGGGGCTTGGAGTGACCCAGACTGGGCAGGGAGAATGAGTGGGTCAGGGAGGACATCTGGGATCGTGTGAGAGAGCGCACCCTGCTGATCAGTGTAGGGAGCAGAAGCTGCAATACAGATATTATTACTGATGTATTAGTAAAACCATCACCACAGTACTTATAGGAGTAGCAGTTTGCAAGGTTTCAAATATGATCAGAGGTAAATAAGCGCTTGACTTTGGCAGAAGCTCACCGGATGGGAGTACCGGCACCTAAAATGTTCTACTGCTTGAGCTCCTGCACCTCTTCTAGAATATTAGCTCTAAAGTATTGTGGAGCTCCTGCACCTAAATATAAACAGTACCGGCACCCAAAATGAGTACCAGCACTTATTTCAGTCCAAGTCAAGCACTGGAGTTAATATAAATATCAAACATATCTTTTTTGGTCACAGTCATTTGGGTGCGAAATAAAGTTGCATACCAAATCAAGCAATTGTAATATAGGCCTATGTTCCGCCAATTGTAGTACAGGCCCCATGTTCCTCCAGGAATGATGAGGATTAAGTAAGTAAATAACATAGGCCTAACGCTAATAGTTTGGTAAATAAGTCAAAAATAACACTTTTTTTTAACCTTACGTCCAGTGTCCTTGTGTGAGACCAGGTCAGTATACTGGGCCTGGCATAAAGCCTGTGGTTGGTCACCACTCTCCCCTGAAAGGAGAGGATTTTATCAGTCTCCAAACCTTACTACAAAGCAGTGAAACAAGTACTGAACTAAATGAAAAATCTACCTGGATCCTGGCTCATTGAGAAGCTACGAAGCACGCAGTCTTGTAATTTACTCTTGAAAGCAACATCTATGGTTAGAGTAAACCTTAATCCACACACATGCATCTGTAAAGTCAAAAGTCTGTTTTTGTTCTGTGTAAGGAAAAGTGATATATTGTTTGCATCCCAAATGGCACCCTATTCCCTATATAGTGTAATACGGTAGATGGGCCTTGGTCGAAAGTGGAGCACAAAATAGGGGATAGGGTGTCATTTGGGACACAAATTGTTGGGGCTCCCAGTAGTTTGAGCGGATACTCGGCTCCAAATTTGGTCTCTTTCATACAAAAATCCACGTCGGAGTGTGGTTGAATCCCCACAAACAAAAGGTGGTGGTTGTCGTCATTTAAAAAAAACATTTTAGTCATTTTAGCAGACGCTCTTATCCAGAGCGACTTACAGTTAGTGAATACATCTTTTTTTATACTGCCCCCCCCGTGGGAATCGAACCCACAACCCTGGCATTGCAAACGCTACATCCCTGCCGGCCATTCCCTCCCCTACCCTGGACGACGCTGGGCCAATTGTGCGCCGCCCATGAGTCTCCCGGTCGCGGCCGGCTGCGACAGAGCCTGGATTCGAACCAGGATCTCTAGTGGCACAGTTAGCACTGCGATGCAGTGCCTTAGACCACTGCGCCACTCATGACCACAAATGACACTCAATGGCCATTGACGTCATCCTGGAATAAAATGTGCGTTACATCACTAAGACCTCCTTTACAAATATACAGTACCAGTCAAAAGTTTGGACACACCTACTCATTCAAGAGTTTTTCTTTATTTTTACTATTTTCTACATTGGAGAATAATAGTGAAGACATCAAAACTATGAAATAACACATATGGAATCATGTAGTAACCAAAAAAGTGTTAATCAAATGAAAATATATTTAATATTTGAGATTCTTCAAATAGCCACCCTTTGCCTTGATGACAGCTTTGCACACTCTTGGCATTCTCTCAACCAGCTTCACCTGGAATGCTTTTCCAACAGTCTTGAAGGAGTTCCCACATATGCTGAGCACTTGTTGGCTACTTTTCCTTCACTCTGCCGTCCGACTCATCCCAAACCATCTCAATTGGATTGAGGTTAGAGGATTGTGGAGGCCAGGTCATATGATGCAGCACTCCATCACTCTCCTTCTTGGTAAAATAGCCCTTACACAGCCTGGAGGTGTGTTGGGTATATTGTCCTGTTGAAAAACAAATGATAGTCCCACTAAGCCCAAACCACATGGGATAGCGTATCGCTGCAAAGTGTGCCTTGAATTCTAAATAAATCACTGACAGTGTCACCAGCAAAGCACACCCACACCATAACACCTCCTCCTCCATGCTTTACGGTGGGAACTACAGAGATACTACTAGAGATCATCCGTTCACCCACACCGCGTCTGACAAAGACAAAGCGGTTGGAACCAAAAATCAATTTGCTGTTGGCTGGGCTCCCTGCCTGTGCCATTAAACCCCTACAACTCATCCAGAATGCCGCAGCCCATCTGGTGTTCAACCTTCCCAAGTTATCTCACGTCACCCCGCTCCTCCGCACACTCCACTGGCTTCCAGTTGAAGCTCGCATCTGCTACAAGACCATGGTGCTTGCCTACGGAGCTGTAAGGGGAACGGCACCTCCGTACCATCAGGCTCTGATCAGTCCCTACACCCAAACGAGGGCATTGCGTTCATCCACCTCTGGCCTGCTGGCCCCCCTACCTCTGCGGAAGCACATTTCCCGCTCAGCCCAGTCAAAACTGTTCGCTGCTCTGGCACCCCAATGGTGGAACAAGCTCCCTCACGACGCCAGGACAGCGGAGTCACTCACCACCTTCCGGAGACACTTGAAACCCCACCTCTTTAAGGAATACCTGGGATAGGATTAAGTAATCCTTCTACCCCCCCTTATCCCACCCCCCAAAAAAACAAACATATTGTAAAGTGGTTATCCCACTGGCTAAAAGGTGAATGCACCAATTTGTAAGTCGCTCTGGATAAGAGCGTCTGCTAAATGACGTAAATGTAATATGGACTTGGTCTTTTACCAAATAGGGCTATCTTCTGTATACTCCCCCTACCTTGTCACAACACAACTGATTGGCTCACACATTAAGAAGGAAATAAATTCCACAAATTAACTTTTAAGAAGGCACACCTGTCAATTGAAATGCATTCCAGGTGACTACCTCATGAAGCTGCTTGAGAGAATGCCAAGAGTGTGCAAAGCTGTCTTCAAGGCAAAGAGTGGCTATTTGAAGAATGTGAAATATAAAATATGTTTTCCTTTAACACTTTTTTGGTTACTACATGATTCCATTTGTGTTATTTCATAGTTTTAATGTTTTCACTATTATTCTACAATGTAAAAAAATAGTAAAAATAAAGAAAAACCCTTGAGTAGGTGTGTCCAAACTTTTGACTGGTAGTGTAGAATGAATTAAAAGTTATAGAGCCATTACTAGTTCATAAACCTACCTAGATACCTATTTATGAAGAAATGTGATCATTGAAAACATCCACATCGTAATATTTTGTTGAGGGATATGACTACACAAATGACTCACAAAAGAACAGAGATCATGATTCTTAATTTATTGAAAAGATCAGGTCGCTTCAGCTCTCAAATAATACTTCTCAAAAAACAAAGTACATTAGAATCTGATCCTGCGATCAGAAATAATCACTTTGGCACTTTTTGGAGCTACAGTTATCCCTATCGGTCAACATTTCCAAAAGGCAAATAAAATTTCCATAATAAATACCCCAAAAGACAACTACTTTTTAATGTCCCTTTCCTCTCTGAGTGAACAGTAATGGTCATAGAGGCCAGATACAGATTGACTTTGCCTTGAAATACACAAGTACTGTATATAGGCGGCCATGTTGGATTAAGACTTCAAATGAAGTGAGCAGCAACAATGGGAGGTCTACTACACTAATGTTAACTGTGAAGAAATCATATATTCTGTCATGACAAAACACTGCTTCTCTATACAAAACATTCCCATGTTTCCACAGGGATCATGGGTATATAAACCACTTTTACACCTTAAAATACATGTAATATAAAACCCATGCAAAAATGATTAAACATTTGGCAGATCAATATTGAGACTCAGGAATGAATGACACAATACGCCGATGTGAGTGACTACATCTGATCATACAAATTGAAATGTTATGGCTGCTGCATCTTAACTGTTCTTAGTACACACACACTCATGCCCAGGTAATATCATACGGAAAAAGAAAGATGAATGGAAAGAGACAAATAAGAACAGTCTGATGTTCTTACACTGTCCACACACAATCATACAAAGGCTGTTTGCAATGAGAAGACACCAACCAAAACACAGACAGACCGTGTGTTTGATGTGCTGTGAGCTGCTTGGGAAGCAGTCCCTGGGTGCATGCTCCGGCCATGATGATAGCTCTAGGAGGAACATGCCTGTGTGCTGAAGTGCATGGCACTATAGGAATCTGGTGGCACAGGGGCAATGGTGAAGATAGGCAGAGTACCAACCTAGAGGAAAAGACCTAGGAGGCAGTGTAGACAACTTAAAAGGTAGACTCAGCGTCATGACATTGCCACGAGCAGCTCTGCAAAAATTATGATAAGTGCAGTGCAAGACTTTCTCCTCACACAGTATCTGCGCATGAGCACGGGTGCGCTTCATGCTGTTACAACGTGGTGTATATACGGGACTAAAACAGTGGAAATCGGACCGATATATTGTATTTACCTAACCAACTGACATTTGAAAAATGAAATATGCATGACTAAGGTCTATAAAAGGTCTTGATTCGGTAGTGTAGTAATGATCACACACACGACACACATTCAAGTCTTTTTCACTCTTAAATTTCCCTGATGTAGCTACCAGTACAATATAAATAAGACTGAACTCATCGGTTCACCCAAACTGGCCCCTTATCCTTTGTCTAAAAGCATTCTTGTGAGTGATCACACATCCCTTTGGTCAGGAGAGCCCATTCCTCACCTATTCATCTTCAAACAACACTACTAGCTACACTGTAAATTAACACACACACACACACACACACACACACACACACACGTCACTGAATTGACAGGACACCATCTTGTTACAGGGGACAGTAAAGCGATCCCCTTGACATTGCAGCAGCTCAACACAGACTCAAACACAAGGCCTCAGACAAAGGTGCCCTTTAGCAGCCCAATATCCCCTCCTATGCTTACCTCAGCTATTTCTCTGAAATGTGCAAGTCATCAATTCTCGCCTACAATCATCTGACTAAATCTATGTCATCAACACAATACAACTGGGGATGAGGCTTGCGGCTACAGTAGCAAGGTAAGACTAACTAGCTATATTTGTGTAGCAATGCCCATCCCTTCCTATACATTAATACATACTGCAGTTCCAATAACTATCAACTATACGAGACCACCGTCAGGTTTTAGAAGGGGTAGTGAGTCAGTCAGTGGGATTGACTGTCACACTGCTATGCTCCCCTCTTGGTTAAAACTATCAGTCCAGTCCAGAGCGTGCAGAAGGGCAGAGAGGGCTCTCTCTGGCACAGCAACGTGCCTCTGGACACTGATTAGGGATCAGTGCTGGGGAGCCCAGGCCCTTGGTCAGTGGAAGGGTGTTGAGGAACCTGACTGTTCTGAGATCAGGGGTCTGTATTGGGGTCGTTGGGGCTGTGGGAGGGTGGCGAGGCAGCAGTTTGTCCGTTGGAACATGGCATATGATCGTCTCCAGGTGTTAAGCAGCTGTCTGCTTGCTGTTTGTACTCCTCTTCCTCCAACACTACCTCTCCCTTCTCCAGGAAAAACTGCAGGGTGGGGCCTCTGGCCTCCCCCTCCCCCAGCTCCCCCTCTTCCGCCAGGCGGAACTTGATGTTCATCTTCCCCAGGGGCTTGTCTGTTTTGTCTGGAGAATAAATCAGGAGGAAGACAGAGAGAGAACAAGAAAGAGAAAGGAAGACAGAGGGAGAGAACGAGAGTGGCAAACATGTAATCTGTTACACCTCAAACATCTAGCACACATTTAAAAGTTACCCAAACAACTGATACTAGAGTTCAACATGAAATGTCAGTTAGGCTTTTGGGCTGTTTCACCTTTGCTCAATTTAGAACTCTTCCCCCGCATAATGAACCCCTTTAGCTTCAGTCCCATTGGCAGGCCACCTCTTTTTTTACATTTTGTTTTGTACATTTTACGCTTGATTTAGACTGCTTGAAACAGAGGGGGAGTCAGGCAAGTGGGAGAACAGTATGATAGACGCAGGGATTGAACCCTGGTCTCCGGTGGGGAGCAGTATATGTGACTGACCGCTAGACCACGGGCCCTGCACAGGCCCCCTCTCTTACCTGTTGTCTTACCTAGCTGTCTCTCTTTGGGCAGCATCAGTACGTCTACGTTGCTGTGGTCCTCCAGAGCAGAGGTGAGCAGCGCCCCCTCCTGGCTGAATAGGAACACCAGGGGGATGGTGATGTCAGCCCTGGACGCGCCGTCTCCCACCATCTGGAACAGGGGCGTGTCTGCGCTGTTACTCCCCTCCCGGTGGTCTAGGAGGGACAGAGGAAATATGGGAAATTGAGTTTTTTAGAACACAAGTGGGGAGGGCTTGTGAGTGATATCAATCAAAGAGGAATGCCATATCAATCAAAGCCCTTTTGGGAACCAACTGATCTTAAGAGGTAAAACGCAGAGCTACTGTAAGCTCACAATAATAAAGTAGGTGATGGTACCCCAAAATCAACCATTTGGGATCTTTACTTCAGTAAGTAGTACACTGTAACAATGCAGACCGATACATCCTTCTCAAACTAGGTTAGGCCCCACTAATCTCTTTCCCTAAGCTCCTCTTACAGCAGAGTAACAGGCGGTGTGCTGATATTATGGGCTATGAGTGGGTGTGTTGAGCAATGTTCCCTCTAATTGTTTTTGGCACTGAGCAAATTTCAGGTCTGCTGAGTGGAAACTTGAACATTGTGAAAATTCTGTACACACTTTAAGTTACAGTTCTAAGGCTGTACACACGAAGTTAGTGGCCAAGCAGGCTAGTGTGGCTATTTGATCATAATGTAGGCCTACCAGGGTGGCCTACCATCAAAAACTATTGAAAAAATGCATCCCATAAAATGTTCACATGGAAATAGCTATAGCAATAGCTATTCTATAATACAGCCTACATTAGCAGCCATGTGGGGTGTTCAATGTAGGTCTACATTCCATGGGACTTTTTAAAAAACATTATGCATGGGCTTGACATTAATATTGTCCTTCAGACAAGTCGGTGACTGAAAATGTTGTATTGTGTGATGCAAGAAACCACTTTACAAAGTAAAATGCATTATTATTCCCATACCATTAATATTACAGAGAATCAGATGAAAATGTAGGCTTTGCTACCCTCCGCCTTTTGGCTTCTTAGCTTATTCAAGCCTGTCTCTTAATACAACACTGCACCTTTAAAACATAGAAAAGCACTGTAGTCTTTTGCTGCGTTCACGTCATGTCGGAAACTTTGGACCTCCGAGTTAAAATGAACGTAAGTTATTTGCGTAAAGATTCCTATTGGTTGATTCTGACACTTCCCAAGTGGGATACTCGGGTATCATCTTTCTACAATGAGTAAGCAAGTCAGAAATGTCAGAGTTACCGACATGACAAGAACGCAGCATTTACCTGACTCGCTTTTGAAAGATGGATAGAAATGTGCACATTTTGTGCTCTTGTAGGAAGCAACCACTCAACTATTGCTGACTAGAAATGAGCTATTACTAGGCTAATAACTCACTAACTAGGAAAGAATATCAACAAATGTGCACACGCGGCTTCATGTGGCTCTGATCGCAAAACAAGCACATCACTTGTGACCACTCGTGCCTGTAAATGCAATAGAATCCCCCGACGATGTGCTCTGCCTACAACAAAATCACAGACTAAGTCTTGAATAGTTAGATTTGTTTTGGTATGTTGCATTGAAAGGGGCTAATATGTTAATTCGATAACAATACCCACAGTAGAGGGAAACATTGATAGTGTAAACTAACAGGTCAAAACTAGTAAAGTTGAGTGAAGTTCAATCTTGTGCTTCTCTGCGCGGGCTGGTGTTTCTTTTGCGCGGCAGTTCTGGGGGAGCTGCGCGGTGTTGAGGCGTGAGGGGGCATGAGAGAGCGAGAGAGAGGGTGACAGGCAGAATGTGTGTGTGTGTTCCATTCCCTCACCTATGAAGATGACTCCGATAGCCCCAGCCTCCTGTAGCCTGTGGGCCTTGGCAGCAAACATGCAGTCGCCACGCAGTGCCAGGGCAATGTGCCCGCTCAGCTCCTCAGCATTCTCTATGGGACCACACGCTGTGTAGGGGGAGGTCTTCACGATGCTGCCCTTCACCTGGGAGAGGAACAGGGTGTGTGTGCGAGAGAGAGAGAGGGAGAGAGAAGGGAAGAGAAATTCCTGTAAATACTCTGTACAGTATTGACACAGGCAGACATCCATTTGGGTCCTAAATGTAAGGGGACAAACAGGTGCATGCCCATCTCTTATAGTATCAATATTTTGAGTGACATAAAAAACGAATAGAAGTGAATGCAAGATTCAATAAAGCTCACCCCGTGCTCCTGCTTGGTAAGGTCCATTCCAAACTTGGCTGGTCCTGCAGTTAGGACCGTTCTACCCAGAAACGGGGGGGATATGAGCTGAACGACGAGGGGCTCTACTTCTTCCTCCTCTGTGGTCTGGGTCACCTCTGCCACCAGTTTCACCCTGTAAACACCTTTGTGTGCCTCCTGAAAATAAGTACACTGGTGTTATTAATTACACAGGAGCATTAATGAGACAGGGCAATGTTGCTCCGCTAAACAATAGTCTGCATCCCAAATGGCACCCTATTCCCTAAATAGTGCAATACTTTTGATAGGACCTAGGGCATAGGGAATAAGGTGCCATTTGGGACACAGTCAGACAATAGAGAGCTAGAAATCAAATAGCTGCCCACCCTTCTTACCCCCTGTGTCCCTGTGTCCCCAGCCTCGTTCAGTGGGGTGAGGGAGATGCCCATGCTCTTCAGAAACTCCACAGGCTCCATACCGTGGTCGTGAAGTGGCAGCTCGATGCCCCTGCAAACACACACAAACTCATCAGTGACATACAGTGGCTAGGTCAGAGTCACCTAGCAGGGTTAACATAAAGAATGTGTTTCCATCAATCAGTTTTAGTGAATGTGTAGGTCTTTACAGCCACACAACATGAACGACCATATACAGTGCCTTCGGAAAGTATTCAGACCCCTTGACTTTTTCCACATTTTGTTACGTTACAGCCTTATTCTAAAATTGATTAAATTGTTTTTTCCCCCTCATCAATCTACACACAATACCCCATAATGACAAAGAAAAAACAGGTTTTCACATATTTTCTGAAATATAACATTTACATAAGTATTCAGACCCTTTACTCAGTACTTTGTTAAAACACCTTTGGCAGCGATTACAGCATCGAGTCTTCTTGTGTATGACTCTACAAGCTTGGCACACCTGTATTTGGGGAGTTTCTCCCATTCTTCTCTGCAGATTCTCTCAAGCTCTGTCAGGTGGGATGGGGAGCGTTGCTGCACAGCTATTTTAAGGTCTCTCCAGAGATGTTCGATCGGGTTCAAGTCCAGGCTCTGGCTGGGCCACTCAAGGACATTCAGAGACTTGTCCCGAAGCCACTCCTGCGTTGTCTTGGCTGTGTGCTTAGGGTCGTTGTCCTGTTGGAAGGTGAACCTTCACCCCAGTCTGAGGTCCTGAGTGCTCTGGAGCAGGTTTTCATCAAGGATCTCTCTGTACTTTGCTCCGTTAATCTTTGCTTTCAAAACTAGTCTCCCAGTCCCTGCCGCTGAAAAACATCCCCACAGCATGATGCTGCCACCACCATGCTTCACTGTAGGGATGGTGCCAGGTTTCCTCCCGACGTGACGCTTGGCATTCAGGCCGAAGAGTTCAATCTTGGTTACATCAGACCAGAGAATCTTATTTCTCATGGTCTGAGAGTCTTTAGGTGCCTTTTGGCAAACTTCAAGCGGGCTGTCATGTGCCTTTTACTGAGGAGTGGCTTCTGTCTGGCCACTCTACAATAAAGGCCTGATTGGTGGAGTGCTGCAGATATGGTTGTCCTTTTGGAAGGTTCTCCTATCTCCACAGAGGAACTCTAGAGCTCTGTCAGAGTGACCATTGGGATCTTGGTCACCTCCCGAACCAAGGCCCTTCTCCCCCAATTGCTCAGTTTGGCAGGGGTCGGCCAGCTCTAGGAAGAGTCTTGGTGGTTTCAAACTTCTTCCATTTAAGAAGTATGGAGGCAAATGTGTTCTTCCTTTGACCTCATGGCTTGGTTTTTGCTCTGACATGCACTGTCAACTGTGGGACCTTATATAGACAGGTGTATGCCTTTCCAAATCATGTCCAATCAATTGAATTTACCACCTGTGGACTCCAACCAAGTTGTAAAAACATCTCAAGGATGATCAATGGCAACAGGATGCACCTGAGCTCAATTTCGAGTCTAATAGCAAAGGGTCTGACTACTATGTAAATAAGTTATTTTTTATACATTTGAAACAATGTTTTTGCTTTGTCATTATGGGGTATTGTGTGTAGATTGCTGAGGATAATTTTATTTGTAATCAATTTTAGAATAAGGCTGTAACGTAAAAAAATGCGGAAAAAGTCAAGGGGTCTGAATACTTTCCAAAGGCACTGTACGCTCTCATAATGAAATCTACAAACACACACACAAACCTGACAGGCGAAGCGTGGAAGGCCCGGCCCACCCCAGTCAGGTACTTGTAGCTGTCCCTGATGGTCTTGGCGAAGGAGGGGTTGTTGGGAAACAGGGTCTGGGTGCTGGGGCAGGAGTAGGTAAACAGGTCCTCCTCCACGGCAGTGGCCGCTTCCTGGAACATATAGACACAAAATGGCGGATCAGTTTCAGCTCTTCTGACCATAACATAACTGGACAGCTGGTTCAAATAGACTCCATATGGCGGATCAGTTTCAGCTCTTCTGACCATAACGCAACACAACTGTTGGTAACTGACTGAGCCTCACTGTGTTGTTGCCCCGACAGGGGGGCTGTGAAGTGGACAGGGAGACAGGCAGCAGGTGGGCCTCGGTGGTGAAGATGTAGTCATCGATGTCAAAGTGAAGCTGGTTCTTCTCAGAGAACAGAAGGTACAGGTACTTAAACATCTCCGCCAGGAAGAACGAGTCCATTCTACAAAGAAGGGGGAATGTTTGAAATCACTTGAACAGAGCAAATAATGTGCCAAGTAATGTTACGTAATTTGGGCTCTCTTACTCAAAGAGCACTATTTCCTTAAGACCAACACTTTCATTAGTCATATTGGCAAGCTGGAGTGAGAAGGAATCAGTGGATATGACCTGAGGTTTCAGATTTGAATCCATATGATTCGCTGCGATCCCCTACCTGTCCTCGTGGACCCCTGTGCGGACGTCCTGCACAGCTGCAAATCCACAAGGCACCCTGGCATGGGCATTGAGCTTCTCCACTATGGACTGGCCCACCCTGAGGTAGTACGGATCGCCTGTGGCCTGTGGAAGGGAAAACATGGTCTATCCCATTCACAACCCCTTTCTCAACCAGTTCACTCATGTACACAGAGTATACCATTACTATGCACCTTTGGCTTTTCCCATTGGGAACTCAAACCAAACTGCATTACCTTGTAGAGGTAGTAGGTGCTTTCTGCAAACTCTGGCCTTAGAGGGTGTTGACCCCAGTGAACTCTGAACTCGGTGGTGAAAGCCTGCAACGTTAGGAAAAACACAGTCAAGCAAAGCTGAGAGCAGATATTATCATCTTGACTCAAATTTCAAATGTCACTTTGTCTTACCTCGGGGAGAAACTTGTGCTGCTTGGTGACTTGGTAGAGCATCTCATGGGTCTCTATGGCTGGCTTTAAGTCTCCTCTCAGAACCTATGACCAAGGGTTGATAACGCAGTCTTTATTATGAACGATTCACTTTCATAGCGTATACCTGTTCATACAGCTGATAGAAACTCAATAAAAAAAGTAAAAAAACAGAACTGTCTTCTGCTGTAGTGGATAGATCTGTGGTCATGAAGATGTCATGATACAAGCAGAGGGTCTCATGAATTTATGTGATATTAGCATACAAAAGTAGTGCACTATATAGGGAATAGGATGCCATTTGGAATGCAGCCTATGTCATATTGTTAGAGGCAGAGGGGCTAACCATGACAAGTGGTGGCGATAGAGGCTGTGTTAATGGGACTCACCTGCAGGCCAGGGAAGAACGCGAGTAGGGAGTCCATCCAGCTGCGGACGCTCACCGTGGGGTTGTGCATGTGCACGTTGAGCAGCAGCGGAGGCTGGCTGATGTACTTCATGATGGCGCTGTAATGCTGTAGGAGACACACCAGACAGCAGGTGTCACTAAATACACTTACATTATGTATGATGTGTATAGTTGATATGGGGGGTTAGATCAGTGATGTGACTGAAACACCGTTTACACTCCATAATCAGTGTTTCCCCTAGGATTTTCCCTCAGCAGCGGTGGTAAAGGGGTGGGAGCGTGGTAGTGTCCGTGGCCAATGACACGGTTTAAGAGTCCCTCCTCTTGGCCGCAGAAACAAAATGTTTCTGTTTTAAAGATAATTTCCTGCAATTCTACACATTTTGTCATGGGGCTGAGAGAAAAATTGCAGTTTCAAAGCTAATTCCGCCGCTGCTAAATGCCTATAGGGGAAACACTGACAATAATATAGGCCTTGTGATATCTGATTACTTCCATCTGATCACCATCTGACCACAGAGCATTTACATTTGAAATGAACATGCATGTATTTGTTATCTGGTTCTGCAATCTGGATGCAGGTAGCATTTAAATGGAAAACGTAAAAACGCTGTCTGACAAATTGGAGTGTTCTCTACAAGCATAGAGCAATGCATTGTAATATATCAGCAGCTAGTGAGAGTAAAGTAGAGAGAGTGGGTCTCACAGTGTTGAACCTCTCCAAGTAAACGTTGTCTCCCAGTAGAACGTAAGCCTTCATCAGGTACTCATAGTAGGAGTCAATGCCAGCACCCACACCACTGTCTGGAGACGCAAGGGAGAGAGGAGGAATACACTGTTAATATAGAATCTGACTGAGCTAATTGGGAATAACAACCAGGCAGAGACACACGTATTCAAAACCAAACCAAGCTAGTAGTATTGGAAGTGACTAATGGCTGATATAAAGGAACTGAGTGGGACGATGTGTCATCACATGATGCGAGGTGATAAAATGTTTGTTCCTACTGCAACATTTTGACTTTTAAACGTGAGAGTTGGTGACCATGTGTGCTGGTGTAGGTGAGTGTGTGTTGTCTGAGTGGTTGAGTGTGACAGTGGAGTTCTGGCTCACCCCTGCGTACCCAGTCTCCATTGTGGATATTAATGACTGTGCCCACAAGGTCACTTCCTCTCTGTCTCTTCTCCCACAGGACGTCCAGTGCTTTCCTAGCATTCTCCTGTTGGTCACAGAAACACATCTTCATACACACAGGTTAATAAGTACAAAACAACACTATTAATTATTAATGGAATTACTAATGTACCTCGAACACAGCCTCCCCAGACAGCCGACTGAGAGCAGCAAACTCTAGAATCATGGTCCCTGCACAGGCTGTACAGGTGTCCGACTCAGTGCCTGTGCGTGACAGGGGATTAAGGACACCGTACCTCAGGTTTACCTGCATACAAACAGAAGTAGTAAGTATTTTGTAAGCATATTATTGTGGCCCTGGCGGCACAGAATAATGAAACGGTCTGACTGCTCAGAGGTGCTTGGGAAGATGGGTCACAACGGGGGACCAGCGTGTGTGGGTATCCAAGCTCCATCTTCCCGTTCCTGCTCAATTTGGCATGCCTTCTTAAACAACCAAACTGTATACACATTCACACATCAAGTCTTCTCTTGAGTTGGATTCAGGGATGGAACAACTGTTAAACATTTGAGCTTGTGGTTATGTGTGTGTGAGCAGCGTGTGTGTGTGTGTAGGTCGATCTATGGGTGGAAGGGGAGAGAGGGGCAGAGGTGTTTGTTTGGGAGGGGTGGGGTCAGTGTATGCATCCCACATCTGTTGACAAAAATGTAGAATTCGTACTACCAGCCCTTGTTATAGGTGTCATATGTGTTATAATCCTTCGCAGAAGTGCTTATATAATTACACATATTATTAGTCAATTAAGATATGCAAAATGTGTATATACAGTGGGGAGAACAAGTATTTGATACACTGCCGATTTTGCAGGTTTTCCTACAAAGCATGTAGAGGTCTGTAATTTTTATCATAGGTACACTTCAACTGTGAGAGACTGAATCTAAAACAAAAATCCAGAAAATCACATTGTATGATTTTTAAGTAATTAATTTGCATTTTATTGCATGACATAAGTATTTGATAACCTACCAACCAGTAAGAATTCCGGCTCTCACAGACCTGTTAGTTTTTCTTTAAGAAGCCCTCCTGTTCTCCACTCATTACCTGTATTAACTGCACCCGTTTGAACTCGTTACCTGTATAAAAGACACCTGTCCACACACTCAATCAAACAGACTCCAACCTCTCCACAATGGCCAAGACCAGAGAGCTGTGTAAGGACATCAGGGATAAAATTGTAGACCTGCACAGGGCTGGGATGGGCTACAGGACAATAGGCAAGCGGCTTGGTGAGAAGGCAACAACTGTTGGCGCAATTATTAGAAAATGGAAGAAGTTCAAGATGACGGTCAATCACCCTCGGTCTGGGGCTCCATGCAAGATCTCACCTCATGGGGCATCAATGATCATGAGGAAGTTGAGGGATCAGCCCAGAACTACACGGCAGGACCTGGTCAATGACCTGAAGAGAGCTGGGACCACAGTCTCAAAGAAAACCATTAGTAACACACTACGCCGTCATGGATTAAAATCCTGCAGCGCACGCAAGGTCCCCCTGCTCAAGCCAGCGCATATCCAGGCCCATCTGAAGTTTGCCAATGACCATCTGGATGATCCAGAGGAGGAATGGGAGAAGGTCATGTGGTCTGATGAGACAAAAATAGAGCTTTTTGGTCTAAACTCCACTCGCCGTGTTTGGAGGAAGAAGGATGAGTACAACCCCAAGAACACCATCCCAACCGTGAAGCATGGAGGTGGAAACATCATTCTTTGGGGATGCTTTTCTGCAAAGGGGACAGGACGACTGCACCGTATTGAGGGGAGGATGGATGGGGCCATGTATCGCGAGATCTTGGTCAACAACCTCCTTCCCTCAGTAAGAACATTGAAGATGGGTCGTGGCTGGGTCTTCCAGCATGACAACGACCCGAAACACACAGCCAGGGCAACTAAGGAGTGGCTCCGTAAGAAGCATCTCAAGGTCCTGGAGTGGCCTAGCCAGTCTCCAGACCTGAACCCAATAGAAAATCTTTGGAGGGAGCTGAAAGTCCGTATTGCACAGCAACAGCCCCGAAACCTGAAGGATCTGGAGAAGGTCTGTATGGAGGAGTGGGCCAAAATCCCTGCTGCAGTGTGTGCAAACCTGGTCAAGACCTACAGGAAACGTATGATCTCTGTAATTGCAAACAAAGGCTTCGGTACCAAATATTAAGTTCTGCTTTTCTAATGTATCAAATACTTATGTTATGCAATAAAATGCAAATGATTTACTTAAAAATCATACAATGTGATTTTCTGGATTTTTGAGTATCTAGTTGAGTATCTTGAGCATCAGCAATTGTGGGTTCGATTACAGGCTCAAAATAGCCAGAAACAAATAACTTTATTTTGAAACTCGTCAGTCTATTCTTGTTCTGAGAAATGAAGGCTATTCCATGCGAGAAATTGCCAAGAAACTGAAGATCTCATACAATGCTGTGTACTACTCACAGAACAGCGCAAACTGTCTCTAACCAGAATAGAAAGAGGAGTGGGAGGCCCCGGTGCACAACTGAGCAAGAGGACAAATACATTAGTGTCTAGTTTGAGAAACAGGCGCCTCACAGGTCCTCAACTGGCAGCTTCATTAAATAGTACCCGCAAAACACCAGTCTCAACGTCAACAGTGAAGAGGCGACTCCGGGATGCTGACCTTCTAGGCAGAGTTGCAAAGAAAAAGCCATATCTCAGATTGCCCATCTTAATCTTTTATTGGCCAGTCTGAGATATGGCTTTTGCTGATTGCTGATGCTCCAGCTACTCAACTAGTCTCAAGAAGGCCAGTTTTATTGCTTCTTTAATCAGCACAACAGTTTTCAGCTGTGCTAACATATTTGCAAAAGGGTTTTCTAATGATCAATTAGCCTTTTAAAAATGATCAACTTGGATTAACAAACAACGTGCCATTGGAACACAGGACTGATGGTTGCTGATAATGGACCTCTGTATGCCTATGTAGATATTCCATAAAAAAAAATCAGCCGTTTCTACCTACAATAGCCATTTACAACATTAACAATGTCTACACTGTATTTCTGATCAATTTGATGTTATCTTAATGGACAAAAAAATTGCTTTTCTTTCGAAAACAAGGACATTTCTAAGTGACCCCAAACTTTTGAACGATAGTATATTGTATGTACTACATGCATATTGTCAGATAATTATAAGACTACAACGCCATCTTGAATCTTCTATTCATATTCAGCTTGACAGTCCTTTCAGAACTGAATCTTTTGGCATTTTTCCGACATTGTGGAAAAACCGAGTTCTGATAAACAAGGCTTTGCACCCAGGGGTACCGCAAAAAAGAGAAATGTGGAGAGTGAGGCGTGTTACCCTGGGGTAGGGAAGGCCACTGGTGGTGTTAAAGGCAGGGAGCAGTCTGTGGCCCAGCTCCTTGGCCATGTGGAGCAGCTCATCTCCGTACCACTGCATCCTCTCCCCCCGCTGACGGAGCATGTCCGCCATCACATGCGCCCCCAGCAGTCCCCTGTAGTGACAGCAAGATTATGGTGTGGTGAGCATGTGGCAATGCCCAGACAATTTCCTACTCATCTAAACACTGACAGCACTATATTATAAAGTCATACAGTTATTAGATCATAATGTCAATTAGACATTTGAACCAGTATCATACACGATCTTGGAGAAGTACTGTGTAGTAGTGAGACAATGCATTGTATTGGTTTGTACCCCAGGACTCGGATGTTGGTCTCAAACACAGACACCACCACATCGTTGTCCAGCCTGACATCCCTCAATGTCCTCCTCACTGCATCCTCAAACTCGTCCAGCTTGTTCAACACCTGGAAACACGGACAAGCAATATTTGTTAATAGGGGAAAAGACTAAAGAAATAGGTGTTTAAACACTTAGACTAAACAAATGATAAACATGAATTATTCCTGTGAATTACTACATTTCAATTATTTTTGCTAGGGTTTCCATTACCATTAGAAAGAAGGGCTATCCATTTTGTCTATACTGCCATTTACTTTATGTGTGTGGCTCTGAGGTGTTGTCGGGAAAATGGATCCCATTTGCTAATTGATTTCTCTATAGACATTTGTGGTACTATAGCTGACAACGATTATAGCCACACAGACAGGATCAGATACTCACCACCAGAGTATCCAGGGTGTCGATCAGTGTGAGGGAGAACCTAGGAGAAAACAAGGTTATATTTGTTAGGGCACACCATATCAAAAATGTTTGCAACAAAACCCTGAAAACAGACGTTTCTTATTTGGCAAGTTCAGATAGTCCATCCCTGTTTCAGCCAGTCTTCTTCCATTTGGTGCTTAATGAATATGACCCAGGTCAGGAGGATGGCCTTCTGCACACACACAACACAGAAACTAGATCCTGCTCCATGTCAGCTTTATCATAGTCATCATCTATTGTGTTTCCAGGCTAAGTGTGTTATATCGAAGGTCTTAAGGAAGAACCAGAGAGGGTTCGGATAGGTCACGTCAAACAGAGTATAACAGGCTTTCCCACATCATCTCACAACACGTCCAAATTAATTTCATTTTCCTATGAGCATTACATATTGAGAAACGTGGGGTTGTACTCACTTCCCCAAAGAGTCATCGATGTCTCCCCTGTTTGGCTCCAGGCCACGCACCCTCCCCCTGCAGCTCAGGGGCATCAGCTCGTCCGCTGGGTATGCATATTTCTGTGGCAGAATCAGGGAACAGGTGCAGTCAGGGTACGGTACACATACTAATTAGGAGGGACATTTGTTTAGATACCTTTCGACTTAGAAGTATAGGCCGAGTGGATGGCACACAGTCAAGTCAGAGAGCCGTTTGAGCAATAATAAAATATCAACGTAACAGTAAACAGCAGCATGCCCTGCTACATGGTCAGTAACAGGCTGACAGCCATAGCTATGGGCTGAAACATCCAATTTTGCCCAATGTAGTTGATAGTGACAATAATAATGTAAATGGCATACATATGATATATTACTATAAATGATGTGGTCAGACAGACTTACCATATAGCTGCCATAGGCATGATCGAACATCTCAACGATCTGGTCCCTGTAACAGAAAGAAATATACTACATCTACATAACCAAGTAATTTCTAACAGACAAGAGGATAGATGGGTAAAGCGCTGGTGTGTTCAATGATTTAGTCCCTTCGTCTTCACAGTATGGACTTTGCCACTCAGTAAAGGTGGGCATTGCGCAATACTGGAGTGTGATCACACACGGTTGATATCTCACCTGATTTTGGTCTTTTCTTCAGGTAACATGGCCTGACCTTCCTGGCCATTGGCCCAGCTAAGAAGGCTTGTGAGCAGTAGGGCTCTCAGCATCATGGAAATGCCAGGAGAACCCTGTGGCCAGCAAAACAGCTTTGCGCCCATTTAATCTTTGACACGTCTGTACACAAGTGGCTGTTCCTGTGCTCTCAATGACGTCCCTGAAAAATCATAGTCCAATGCATTTCTTCTCCCGGAACGTGCATGGGGTGGCCTCATGGACAAGCACAAGAGTTCAGAGAGTTGACAACTGGTTGTCTCCACTACAGTTGATGGGTTTAGCTGTCAAACTAGTTGTCAAAATAGCTAATTGACAACAACGTGTTACATAAAACTATACCAAGACTGGAAATAATTATCAGGTTACTTGGCATGTTACCCCTGGCAGGATCAATAATTAGCGAGCCTCACGAGAGAACCACTGGGTACGTTAGAGATAGTTGACAATTGACATCTGTAGGTGTAACTAGCTTGTTAGCTATCTAACAGTAGCTATGTCCATATACTTTGAATCACACACGAAGCTCCTCTTCTGTTCACTAGCGTGATTTCCCAGTCTATAATCAGGCGTATACTCAACAGGACAGGAAGGAACTCCATCAGCTTAGCTGGCTAGCAGCTAGTTAGCGAACTTAGCTAGCTAATGAACAAAGAGGAGCCGGTGGTGGTCTTCTTTCGTATTGCAACACATCCCTCTTCTTCCGTGTCAGTAGTCCCAGTCACACGGACAACGCCTATCTCCAGACCCAAAGAGTTTTTTCAATCAAACCGTCGATGGGAGAAACCAGCTCAGCTTCTTTGGTGCTACTTATTTAGCTAGCAGTCTACTAAACAACAAGCTTTGAGGGTACCTCTTGATGCTATTGGTCGAGGCAGAAGAAGTATAAGGAAGACATTGGCCGTGTTCGAGAGGATCAAAACCGTCATGTATCATGGGTCAATTCTGACAGACTGATCTACAAATAATAATGAGTAGTTATTTATGATACAAGGTTCGTTTTTTTCTTTTTTAGGGGGTAGATCAGCTTTAATATTGCAGATAGATTGTAACTTCCATCAATGTAATTGTCTGCATCACTTCCAATCCCCCATGTTTTTTTCTCTCGCAAATATATATACATACATATACATACATACATACATACACATACATACATATAAATACATATACATACATATATAAACACGTGTATGTGACGAATATAATTTCATATATATATACATATCCTTTAAAAATATATATATTTCCCTTTATTACTTTCCAACCCCACCACCCCTTCCCTAATTGGAGTAAACTAGTGAACAACAATGCTTAGGCCTCTACCTCCAGTTTATACATACTATATACATTTTATGGACAGAGTCAATTTTACAATAATTCTATTTTGTTTGTTTTTACTCATGAACTTCCTCTACCCTCAACCTCTCTGATCATTTTCATGATGTCCATCCGGTTTGCTTCTATATGCCATATCTTTCTAACTGTGCTCTTTCACAAAAGCTCTCAATCTATAACCTATATACTTATTATGGACACAGTATGCTTTACATTAGTTATCTTGTTGTTATTAGTTGTTGTTAGTTGTTATTAGTCCCATCCTTCAACTCCATTCAACACCACCCACTATCTCTTAACTCCATCCATATTGGATTTCTATTTGCCATATATTTTTCAACTGTACTGTGATGTTTTACAAAAGTTCTGAACCCTTCTATTCTCATTGTTTCTACAGATTCTAAATTGAAAATAAACATTTTTGCTAAATGTATTATTATATTATTGATCGATTGACTATGACTTTTTAGATCACCCAGTAGTGCTATCTGCAGGGTTAGCTCCAGGTAAATATTGCAATCCCTAGCCATTCCTGAACCTGTGTCCAAAAACAAGCTACAAATGGACAGTACCAAAACAAATGATCTAATGATTCTGTCTCTTTGCAGCAAAATCTGCAGAGCTGGGAAGATTGTATCCCCCATATAAATAACATTCTATTGGTAGCAATAATTTTATAGAATAATTTAAATGGAATCCGGCGTCGTTTTGCGCATCAGTTCATAAACACTATGCCATGGAATCAGTACATAAAACATTTCTTCCCAACTAATTTGCAATCTATATGGGACGGTTGTCAATCCTTTGGTCCTTAAATGAAACTGGTATACTTTTTTATTTATCACAATTTTCTTTAACCAATTATGTTCTTTAATGCAGGGCCGACAGACAAGTTCCTTACTTTTTCCCCCTTCCACTTTCCTCTTCCATTTTTGCGGTAATGCTGCAATTATTTGGTTGTAATTTTGGGTAGAGCAGACATTTCCATATGTTTTTGTTAGTTGCATGTGCGACATAACTCCACCAGTCCTATTTATGATATAATTTACGAAGATTATACCTTTTTAAACATTTTTTTCCAAAAATAATGTTTTTTTAAAATCTATTATTATATTTGAGTTTAACCACAATATTTGTTGCATTATTTGTTCTGTCATTTCTGGAGGATCAAATTGAAATTGCAATCAACTTTCTATGGCTTGTTTTAGAAATAGTGATATTTGGGAGATTATTTCCTTTTCAAATTACTGAAAGTGAGAGGTTGTAATCTGAATAAAGGGGAAAAGGCCATTATTGAACATTGGGTGAGACAATTTTACTAATTTGCTAGAGAACCAGTTCGGATTTAAGTATAACTTTTGTATGACTGAAGCTTTTAGTGACAGTTCTAATGCTTTAATATTTAATCATTTCTGTCCTCCGAATTCATATTCATTATATAAATAGGCCGGTTTAATTTTGTCTGGTTTGCCGTTCCAAATAAAATTGAATATTTTTTTCTCATATAATTTAAAAAACTGTTCGCTAGGCGTAGGCAAGACCATAAGCAAATAGGTAAACTGGGATAAGACTAAAGAGTTAATCAGGGTGATTTTTCAACAAATTGACAGGTATTTACCTTTCCATGGTAGCAATATTTTATCTATTTTTGCTAACTTTCTATTAAAATGTATTTGAGTGAGTGTGCTCCTCTGTAGCTCAGCTGGTAGAGCACGGCGCTTGTAACGTCAAGGTAGTGGGTTCGATCCCCGGGACCACCCATACACAAAAATACATGCACGCATGACTGTAAATCGCTTTGGATGAAAGCGTCTGCTAAATGGCATATTATTATCATTTATTTAATTTGGGATATGTATTCCGAGTATATCCACATCACCATACATAATATAGTACATTTATCATAATTTGGTTGTAATCCAGAGAGGTTAGAAAACAAGGTTCTTTGTGTATTAGTCAATCGGCAGTCGCCTGCAATGTCGAACAAGCCCAATTTGCGTCGTTTGTATCACGATAAGAATGGTGACATCAAATGTTGCAGGTTTCCAAAGTTACATTGTTATCAGTTATGGCCATAATATTGAGTTACAATGTAGGCCTATCCATAAACCTACTTTTATAATTTGAATATTTTAAGTAGCTAGATCAACCGGAGAAGCATGGTCATTTTAAAACAACACTTTGCAATATGCCTTTCCTTTCATATGCATGAATTATTAGACTATTAATTATGCCTAAATGTAGGTTTACGCTATCACATCCCTCAACCTGCCTTTCTCTCACCGGACACCTCTGATCTCCAGCACCATGGGTACCCTTACAGTTTACACACACAACTTTTTCCACCGATTCTACACATCTAGGAATCTCCCTCCTACACATCTATCGTTGCAACCCAGTGCTAATTTGTACATATAGTACATAATTAATGAGAGACTGGGTTGCAACTTAATGACGTGCACGAGACTACATCTACCATCTGCCCTTGCGGCATTTTATAACGTCATGTTGTGCGGCGGCTTCATCATCGTCACGCTGTGCAGAGCAGAAGTATGTTGATGGTAGCCTGCTGCCCTGCGATCAGAAACGAGAAGAAGTGGAATGCAACTAAATCCCGTCAAAACAACGACTGCAGTTCGCTGTCGTCGGTGATGGGGAGTCAAAGGGCCTGAGGATACCCCCCAAAATCTCTTATTTGTCTGCTCATGTTGATCAATCATGTCTGTAAGTAGTTTCTTCGCATAGTCTTCTATTGTTGTGTTGCATTTGTTTTTTGTTGTTTTGGTGAAAAAACAATCATATGTAGGTCATATTTTCGCAGAGCATTACACAATTTAACTGTTTTGCATAACAGAGTGAGAGCAAACGAACATGTTGTAGACTACTGTAATGTGAGTGCTGCTGGCACTCATGATACTTTATCATATGGAAAGTGACCTGCTATGTTATGGAAGAGGCTGAATGCTTGGAGCCATACATAGACCAAATGCCTAATTGTATGTCCACAATTTCTCTTATGTCACTACATATTAAAATCTGATAATGGATCATGGGCTATATGTTTCCATAAATCACAGGCAAAGGCTCCTACTGAGTATTTCAAGAAGAAAAAAGTGTATGTGTGCACCTATCTCACTGAACCACGTTTCCCTTCACTGGCCTTGAGACACTGCATCCAGTTTAGCAAACAGTACGCTCTCTTGACAATCAAATTGTCTGATAAGCTCACATGGGACTGCAGGGCTGTCTTTCCATAGTACTGCTACTGTATGTCAGTACAAGCAGCAACTGTGCTCTAAGAATGGTGGTCATTGTCTTTAATTGCCACAAACTACTTGGTCTATTGGTTTTGGTTGGAAGAACGAGAACACCATTGTCTTGGAATGCAAAATCTGTTGTGGTTGCTTCCTATGGAAAGACACATTTACAGTATGTCCTCCAGGGAAAACTTGATGAGTTTCTGCGAGCCCTGTAGTTAAGTTTTATAGGAGATGTGCAAATATGATATTGATAATTATGTTATTCTGTAGCCTGTAAATCCGTACTATTTTGTAACCTTTAAGTGAAAATGAATACATACAGGAATTTGTGTGGGTGGTAGGGAGAGTAGGGAGGGGGTGGAAAAGGATGTACATTGAGAACTCTTATATATACATTTTCACTCTTATTTTTTGGAAGATGTTGGATTATTTGCCAGGAAAACTATAAAAACGATTTTGTCAAAAATAAAATAACAATTTAGAAGAGTAATGAGCTGAGTATAATTAAATTATATTATTTGCTTGTAACATCTTTGACTTTTTTTTTTTTAGAAGAACTCGATATCACTGTTGCTTTGTGCTATGTATTTTGTGTGTTTTGTGTATTGTATTGTTTTATATTGTTGGTGGTGATTGTGTGTTTTACGTATATGTGGTTTGTTGTTGTTGGTGACAGATATATTAAAAATATAAAATAAAATCATTGAAAGAAATGCAAAACCTGACAAAGGTAGGTAGATGGGCATATAAGGAGAGGTTTTGAGATTGTACAGCTTGCTTTAGTGTGTCTGTGTTTGTATATTTGTTTGTTTCTGTTTATTTTTTTACATTTGAGTAATTTAGCAGACACTCTTATCCAGAGCGACTTACAGTTAGTGAGTGCATACATTTTAAGATAGATAGGCGAGACAACCCAATTGAGATGATTTGGGATGAGTCGCATGAAATTCATAGAATGGACCTATCCCCTCATACCACTGCAATTTAGCTGGTACACCATTGAAATTGAAATATAATTTTCAGGTTTCAATTACTACCAGAAAGAGGCCACTCCACCCACCGCCGAATGTCAACTTGAATGGGAATGTCTATTCTATTATCAAAATGTCTATGATTTCAATATGTTTCCTATGGAAGATTGACAGTTTAATTTAAAACAATGGATATTCCCACTCAAGTCAACATTCTCTGATGTATGGACCTCTAACCATCTTTATGGTACCATTTGAAAGTTGATGTTTCAATTTTGACATTTTAGTTAATTTATCAGCCAAAACATGACAACCACCCGGTTTTCAAGAGCAGGTTGTGTCTCAACCGATGGCGGGCACAACACAAAATCCTCTGATTATATAAAATAGGGTCTAAGCTAAAACATATATGAACAAGTTTACATATTTTGATGTTAAAGGTTAAACAAAAAAACATTATTAAACAATTTGACAACCCTGTTTGTAAGCTTTCAAATGATATCAAACTCAAACATGTATCTTTTCCAGTGATGAAGACATGGATGTCTCATGGTAGAGTGGGGTATGCAAAATGGGTCAACTTTGAGCACCTCTTCTGAATGTTTTGGCATTCAAGTCCAAAAAGTTACTTTCTGACCACTTCTACCATGGGCAAACATTTATGGAAGGTTTCATTCAAATCAAAAGGGGTGCAGTCAGAAAGTGATTGAAATCATCTGGAACGACCCATTAGTATTTTTATTTTTACAGCTTACTAATCAATTGGATTGGCATACTGTGTTGTCATTATCTACCTGACCAAGCTTTATAGATTATATGTCACATACGTGGATGTCCACGTAACCACTCTTAATTGGTTAAGGATTTGCTGCACAGGTCCCATATCTGGTCTGCTTCCTTGCAGTATATTGCTGCTTTACTCATGCATATTCTTTATTGTAGTTCAATTGCTTTTTTCTCATACAGATGACCTTCGAGGCAGGGAGCAGCGTGACGCTGCTGTTTGACTTCTGGGATGTGCAAGGACCTGCAGGTACGCTAACACTGATGACAGACCTGTGTCCTCAGGATAATCTAAATCATATATTTTAGAACCTGTTTGTCTGGTTGACTCTATTGTATTTTTCAAGTACAGTTCAGCCCCTCCATTCTGCATAGTGCGTTTCAGGTAACAACAAATTAACTTGTTGCAAATTAGTACTTAGTTGCTTATTTAGACCTGTTTCAATATGGGCCCCTAGCGATGCATGCACTGGTTTCTTACACTCTTAAATCAGGTCACTGTTGTTGTCTGTACAGTACGATAAGTATAGCAGACACTGTGGTGACTTCACTGAGTTCCAGACTGACACAATTGGGGTCACTGTTGATGACCATCATTGCTATCAGCCATGATAAGCTCTGTGGTCAATGTGTTATGTGTTTGCAGGGATGGTGCTGTCTGTGTTCGTGGTCCTCCTGTTGACCGTGTTCTACGAGCTGCTGAAGGTGTGGAGGGTCTGGCTGGGGAAGCGCCCCTCTCCCTTCCCCTCCTCAGACTGCCAGGGAAGCAGCGCCGCATTAGCCAGTAGCCTGTCAGAGTCCTCTCTGGCCCCCATGGAACAAACTGCCCCCACTCCCTCCCCCATGAACAGGTAGGATTCACACAGGAGCAGCCCTGCCCATGTAGTTGTCTGTGATTACCATGTTCCAGGGATGCTGGCTTTCATCTACCAGGTCACAAATTGGCCAGAGAGTGCATGCACCTGGTTTCACAGGCCTACACAAAGCACTGATCAATTATAAGAAGAAAGACGAGCAGGTCATTAGATCCATGAGAACCTGAACTGTGCACCTGTATATAATGACTCCAGAGAGACTACTGCAATAACACTGTTCTCTCTGTCTCATTTCCCCCAGATGGCTACTCCGTGGGATCCAGACAGCCCTGCACATCCTGCAGGTAACCCTTGGCTACATGTTGATGTTGTGCGTCATGTCCTACAACACCTGGATCTTCCTGGGGGTCATCTTGGGCTCTGTCCTGGGATACTTCATAGGGTTCCCTCTACTGGGTCAAATCTGATCAAACAGAGGAATCAACAGAAAGAGAAGAATCCTTTTCCTGGACTATAGATCTATAGGCACTAGTTATCCTGTACCTGTTGGTTAAAGATGTGCTCTGAAGAACATATCATAGCACCTCTCATGGTTTTGTCATTCTGAACCTGTTGTGCACTCAATGTGCAATAGATCTCCCTGTGACTGTGTCGCTTTTCAAGTTACCTGAAGTGGAAGGTGGTTCCAGTATTTCTTCCCTACTTCTACAGTCTCTTAAAGCAGATGTGTGAGAAGTAAAAAGCAAGATGGGGACTTCCATAGTGTGACACAGATGTACAAAGAGTACAGCATGGTAGATGAGTGATCGAGCACACCCATTGTACCTTATTATCACAAGAGAAGTCTCATGAAGTTAATGCTTTTTTGTGTTCAAGACATTGTGCTACACTGTATGACCTACTGTACTATGCATATCCACCATCTATGTGGTCCCAAGTTTGAGTATGGCCCTCGAGTTCAACCTGTGGCTGCTTGACCTGAGGTCTCATTCTACCATCTCACTCCAAGGTCAGACTACTTGCAGAGGGAACTGAGATTATGCATTCCCAGTCATAAGACAACATTTTCTGGAATTTCCACTTTGACAGCACAGAAGCATGTGATTGAGTGTTGTAACTCCATAGATACTGTATGTCAGGCTCAGTGGGTAACAGTTTGTTTAATTGCTCTCAAGTACATAAGAGGAGAACTGAAAGTGTGGGTCATGTGGCTTTTGTTAATCATTTGTGAGAGAGAGAGACACTTGAGATAGTATCCACCAACCTTTTAGTGCCTTTGATATCCAAAATACATTTGAGACATATTTTCAGTAGAATTATGCAGTAACCTAATCATGTGAAATCATGAACGTAAAGCTTTTTTTCATACGCTATTGATCTAAAGTAAACTGAAAGTAGATAATGGCCTACTCATACAAGGCTTTTAAACTTTTCATCTGAACCACTTTTAGAATGGTGCTTCTCAATAGGGACTTTATATGAACATGTGCTTACTACTGTTGTATTTTAGTGTTTTATTATAACTATCAATAAAATACCACTAACCTTTGTTAACATAATTTGATCAAAAAATATATGATTTGATTGGCTTAAAAACAGTTTATACCATTTGTCTAGATACAGAGGAGAAATAGGAAAACCATATCAAATCAATGTATTTATTAATCCATAAGTATACTCTGTCATACATATAGCAAAATACAATCATAAAAAGCTCTTGCATAGGGCTTTACACAAAATAAAGAATATAGCTGAGGATAGTGCATTGGGCACCATACACACATACAGTATTTGTCATAAATAGAGGAAGGAAACAGAAGGACTCCGTCTTAAAGGAATAGTTCACTGATAGTTTGATTGAACTATCCCTTTAAGTCATGGAGATACATGGACCTATTTTCCCCAAGACTACAAACGCAGCCTGGTTAAGAACAAATATATACAGTGGCCATAGCATGGATAGAAAATAATCATAATTCAATTTCCCTCATTTTGTAGAGTGGGGGAAAATTAACAAATATAGACTTGGTTATATTCCCTTAGTGTGGCCAGAGGAGACTGTGGACAAAGAGTAAGGTGTGATGGGTCCGCACTCATTTTTCAATGTTTTTAGATTGTGACACAGAGGCCTCTTCATGACAAGGTACATGAAGTCAGTCATCTATGTGGTCCCATGTAGCTCAGTTGGTAGAGCATGGCGTTTGCAACGCCAGGGTTGTGGGTTCGATTCCCACGGGGGGCCAGTATGAAAAAGTATGAAAATGTATGCACTCTGGATAAGAGCGTCTGCTAAATGACTAAAATGTCAAATGTAAATCTAGACAACACACTCCCACACGCACACTGAGCATCCCATCTTAATGAGAGATTCTGATGCGTCACAGTCAAGACAAGATATCAGCAGAGCAAGTCCCTTTAGTAATAACTAAGCATGCCCATGGCAGTGGCTTGTCAGTAGCACTGTGGCTGACATAGGACCTCTAGCATCTATAATAAGACTAGCAACTGCTACCATTTGAGCAGCTCCGCTCACACTAAATAAGGGTTAGACTAACACACAGAAAAGTAAGCAAGTGCCTTGTCATGCTGACGTCATGCACTGTAAAAAGATAGTGTTGAAACCATAAGGCCGCTTGTGAAAATAAAAAGATAATTGTTCAAAAGAAGGCTTAACATACACTTATTTCAAGACAAAATCTCTCTGGCTGGTTTTATACAATCGTGTGACAAGTCATTGTTAAAATATGTTAAAAAGCAGATCTCCCAGACCCTGAATGCAATGATAGCTGAATCACTATAATGATATGTTATACAACAATGCCCATTACAGTAAGATGTCATGACAAAGAAGTAAAACAGAGCCGTTTGTGTCAAGAGCCAGCTTACAGTGCCCCCTAGTGCTCAGTAAGAGGTCATGCAATGACCAGTGAGTGTGACCATACCCATGCACCATAGAGTTACCTCTATCATGCCATGCATCTCTGTGAACATATCCTTAGGGCCCTTGCAGATGGTCATCTGTAGTGTAATGTGTATCTTCTGCGCCTACAATCCTCCCCACATCCCTTATCCAATTATGACCTTTAAAAAGGGCAATTCCGCCACTTTTCAACCTCAGTTCATTACCTCCATCACCATACCAGTGTCTACATGGGAAAACAGTGGGTTTCTATGAGCTGTGGTTAAAAAGATAAGGTCCTAAAAAAATGCTTCTCTGTGACATCACAGGGTAGGATTAAAAGTAAAAAACAGTGATTTTTCAAAACCTGCAATAAGTTTCTAACCCAAGGGAGGGTATTTTCTTGCTCCGCACGTCACTGCGAATCTCAGTGTTTTTTTCCTTCCACTTTTATTTTAAACTTTTGATGATGTCATCGGGTAGAACGTTATATATTTTTTTTATGTCTTCCCATTCAAATCTCATATAGAATTTCGGTCTCGTACTCCTCTGTTTTCCCAGCAAAGTCTTCCCCGGTCTCAGAGTCGTCGTGAAGTGCAGTGTTTCCCTGCTCTACAACCACCACCACCTCACCTGGGTCGGTTAGAGAGTCCTCTGTTTTCAGAGCATCCATCATTGGCTGAGCTTCGCCCTCATCCAAGGCCTCATTGGTAAGTGACTGGAAGCCGCTGTCGTTGTGGTGCCGGGGGATGGAGTCTACGGCACACTCCGTTATCCTCTCTTCGTCCTCTTCCTGTACAGCCATCTCTATTTCCAGTATGGCGTTCTCAATAGCCTCCTCCTCTTCTCCCTCGATGGATGACTCACCCTCAATGGCTGCCTCCACCTCCTCCTGCCTCTCCTCCTGTAAATCTCCGACCTCTTCCTGTATCACTATTTCCTGTAAGGTGTTCTCAATGGCCGCCTCGCCCTCCTCCCCCTTGCCCTCAATAGCTGCCTCCCCCTTTTCCTGAAGCTCCCCCTCAGCTTCCTGGTTTGGACCTGTTTCTATCAGCTGCTCGCTCACTTCCTGTGGGGCACTTTTCCACTGCAGTGACTTACTGTGCACCTCCTCCACCACGGTGGTGATGAGTGTCACCTCCTCCTCCCCATCCTCCAGAGTCAGCATCCTCGGCTCTGTCCCATTGGTGAGAACAGCCAAGTCCTCCTCTGAGGCCGGGACTACCATCTCCACCACCGGGTTGATGAGGAAACGGATCTGCTGCACGCTGTCTGGGGAATCAGGCTCCTTGGGGGGGTCTAGTTCCGTGGGGGTCTTTGGATCTGGTTCCATGGGGGTCGCTCCCACCTCCTCCATCTCCCCCTCCTCGGGGATGAAATCCACTCCCGGCACCTCCAAGCACGACTCGTAGGGCATCGGGCCCATCCCGTCCAGCTGGATCATGGAGACCACTTGCCTGCGCCGCCAGTTGGACCGGCCACCTCCTCCCAGGGACCCGTCAGGCTCCTCATCCCCACCACCGAACTGGGCGGCCCAGTCTACCGAAGGGCTCTCCCCCAGCAGGTGGAGGTTGGGGTCGCTGTTGGTCAGGATCATGCTGTCTCTGTACAGGTTGTGTCTCTTCTGGACCGCCGCCTCTTTCACAGCTGTAGGCACACAGAGGGGAGAGAGAATCACTACCATGCTATGATTATAACAGTTCAGTTGTATCAGATTTACATCAGAGCCGTATTCACAAATCGCCTCAGAAAAGCACTGCTGAATCTGCTGATCTAAGATCAGGTCCTCCCTGATATAATCATATTCCGTGTGCTCTAAAAAACAAAAATGATCCTAGATTAGCAGTCCTACCCTGCGATACTTTACGAATAGTCTAGTCTATGCCAGGCCAGTGTCTCCAATGCTTGTCCAGTGTCCACCACTCACCCATCATGATGTCCTTGGTGACAGACTGCAGCACCACCTCCTCAAACACGTTCTCCACCAGGATGAACCGGGAGAAGTCCTCAAAGATCATCTCCTGGAAGGAAGGGAAGTCCTGAGAGAGAGGAGAGGAGAGGTTACAGACTAATGCACTAGACATAGGTAACGTCCCAAGTGGCACCCCAGTCCCTATATAGTGCACTACCAGAGCCTGGGTCGTAAGTTGTGCACTACATCGACTATAGGGTTCCATATGAGACTGAACCATAGAGTAAAGGGGTGGCTAGAGTCTGAGGGGTATCTGTCTTAGGGAGACGAGGATAGCTGGTAAAAGACTATAATCAGTGAGCCTCACCGGATGGCAGGAGGGAGTGAGCTGCTTCAGCATGTAGGGGATGATGATCTGTAGCAGGGCCTCTCTGAAGAACTTCTTACGCACCGTGCTACTGTCATAGTCATATTTCTGACAGGGACAGACAGAGGGACGCAGACAGAAGACATTAGACTCTTTTATCCTTGATGGCAAGGGTTGCAAAATTGCGGTACATTTCCAAAAATGTCCAGGGTTTCCGGCCTCCTGATTGGAATATTCCCGGAATCAGAATAAGCAGGAAATCTGAAATCCTCCAACCAATATTATTTAGGGAAAAACTTTTGCAACCGTATTAAATGGGCAATCTATTCTTAATCAATCATTCAATCAAATCAGTCATTCTCCTTCATCCTAATCCACCCTCAGTCTAACTAACTAACCTTGAGCACTCTGTCCTGACAGCATTGGATGGTCTTACAAAGGTTCTCTCCTCTCTGGCCCTTTCCCTCCAGACTCTGGTGCAGCAGCTGTTCAAACGTGTACACAGCGTTGTCCATTTGCTGTTACACAGAGGAGAGAGGTTATTAGTGATACATTGGGGAAAAAGACAGATTGTCACTGATCTCACGTAGCCCATATAGACATTGGGTGGTTCCATTTTATGCTACATAAGTTCCTATGGTGTTCCTGAAATACCCTCTCACGCCACCAGATGGGGCCACTACAATCCGTCACAAAGTGCAGTAAGAAAAAGAATGTCAAAGTGCAGTAAGAACAATAACTACAGTGTTGGTGGTCTGGTGTGGCAGAGCAGATCCATGCCTACCAGGTAGTGGGATTTGTGGGTTAAGATCTCACCTCTCTCATGAGGATCTGAGCCCTTTGGATGAACACGGAGGGGCTGGACACATCAAATCTCTGCTGCAGCCCTTCCAGACTCAGCTGCTCCACCTTCTCATAGCAGCTCTGCATCTTCACCGGGTGGAATGCCAGCATAGAGATCTTCTCCATGTGCTGAGAGAGAGAGAGAGAGAGAGAGAGAGAGCGAGAGAGCGAGAGAGAGGGGAAAGAAAGGAATGGGGGGGGTAGAGAGAGGGTAGAGAGTAGGGAGAGCGGATGAGGACATGGCAACACCGAGCACTTAAATAGATCCTCCAAGACAGAGCTACAGTACATTTTATGGAACAGTCACAGAGGTCACCAAGGAGTGAACTCCAACTTGTGTTTTCAAGCCCTCCGGTCGTCCACTCACCTCCCCCAGTTTGTCCTTGCCCTCTCCGTTGAGCGTGTTCTTGCTGACCTCCACCAGCTCTCTGAAGAAGACGTCTCGGACCTCTGAGAAGCCTCTGCTGGTGGGCTCCATCAAGGCTTCCAGGATGGAGCTGAGGTAGGGCTGGACGCTGCCCCGCAGGAGCTGCTCTGCCCTGGGCAACACCAGAGCTACGAAGGGGGGGAGACAAGGAGGAGTACGGTTAGTCACCATGGTGAGTAGACAGTAAACACCCACACTTCCAGACCACAGTAATACCAAGCATTACCCAGAGACAGACTGAAAAGTCTGGTTAAAAGGAACCAAAATATCATTAGCCATCAAACCGGTGACTGTGAAATAATGCAGCCATGACCTAAAGCAACCCTACTAACCTGGCTGCTATTGTAGGCCTAACAATGTCCAACTAACAAAGTCATGAACAGTTTTCAGTCATTTACACACAAAACATGTAGGTATTTTAGTCAGATCCCAATCAACTGTTCTGGCACAGAGGCAACCATGACAAAGTGAAGGTGGAACAGAGAGACTACTATGCCAATCGTGGGTACAGAGTAAGCATTGCCAAACCGCTGGTAATAACTACATCAGTCGATCAATCACATTTATTTATAAAGCCCTTTTTACATCAGCAGATGTCACAAAGTACTTATAGAAACCCAGCCTAAAACCCCAAACAGCAAGCAATGCAGATGTAGAAGCACGGTGGCTAGGAAAAACTCCCTAGAAAGGCAGGAACCTAGGAAGAAACCTAGAGAGGAACCAGGCTCTGAGGGGTGGCCAGTCCTCTTCTGGCTGTGCCGGGTGGAGATTATAAGAGAACACTGCCATTAACGCCAGAGTATTATGTCAAAGTGGAATTATGTTTTTCGAAATGTTTACAAATTAATAAAAAATTCAAAGCTGAAATGTCTTGAGTCAATAAGTATTCAACCCCTTTGTTATGGCAAGCCTAAATAAGTTCAGGAGTAAAAATGTGCTTAACAAGTCACATAAGTTGCATGGACTTACTCTGTGTGCAATAATAGTGTTTAACATGATTTTTGAACGACTACATCTGTACCAAACACATACAATGATCTATAAAGGTCCCTCAGTTGAGCAGTGAATTTCAAACACAGATTCAACCATAAAGACCAGGGAGATTTTCCAATGCCTCGCAAAGAAGGGCACCTATTGATAGATGGGTAAAAATTAAAAAAGCAGACATTGAATATGCCTTTGAGCATGGTTAAGTTATTAATTACACTTTGTATGGTATATCAATACACCCAGTCACTACAAAGATACAGGCGTCCTTCCTAACTCAGTTGCCGTAGAGGAAGGAAACCGCTCAGGGATTTCACCATGGGGCCAATAGTGAATTTAAAACAGTTACAAAGTTTAATGGCTGTGATAGTCGAAAACTGAGGATGGATCAACAACATTGTAGTTACTCCACAATACTAACCTAATTGACAAGAGTGAAAAGAAGGAAGCCTGTGCAGAATACAAAATATTCCAAAACGGGCGGCAGGTAGTTTAGTGGTTAAGAGCGTTGTGCCAGTAACTGAAAGGTCGCTGGTTCTAATCCCCGAGCTGACTAGGTGAAAAATCTGTCGATGTGCCCTTGAGCAAGGCACTTAACCCTAATTGCTCCTGTAAGTCGCTCTGGATAAGAGCGTCTTCTAAATGACTAAAATGTAAATATATTCTGTTTGCCCAAGGCACTAAAGTAATACTGCAAAAAATGAAAACAAAGTGTTATGTTTGGGGCAAATCCAATACAACACATTACTAAGTACCACTTTCCATATTTTCAAGCATAGTGGTGGCTGCATCATGTTATGGGTACTAGGCTTGGGTGGTATACTATATATACACCGTATACCGGGGTATTTGGGAAAAGTCATGGGATGGTTTTTCAATACCGTCAAAACTGTTTTATTTGAAGTTTAATACTTTCGAATATTTGTAGCTACTTCTTAAGTAAATACCTGCAGTCAACTTGTGCAATATCTTTGGAGATAAAGAACATTGCGTTCTTAATTTCACCTGCCACATTATTATCAATCATACGGTAGTCCCCAGTCACGTGGTGTTTGTTTACCAGCACAGAACGACGAGAGACCGGAGCCTTGTGAGTCATTCACTGTTGTGCAGCATGTGCCAGGTGATCTAATTACAGTATGGAATTCACAACTCAAATAAAATAAAATAAAATAGTATTGGTCGCATACACATATGTAGCAGATGTTATTGCGGGTGTAGCGAAATGCTTGTGTTCCTAGCTCCAACAGTGCAGTAGTATCTAACATTACGCAACAATACACACAAATCTCAAAGTAAAATAATGGAATTAAGAAATATTGAAATATTAGTAACAGCAAAGCCGGAGTCCGGAGTATGTATGTATGTACTGTGACTTCGGAAAGTATTCAGACCCCTTGACTTTTTCCACATTTTGTTACGTTACAGCCTTATTCTAAAATTTATTAAATAAATGTTTTTTGTCAGCAATCTACACACAATACCCCATAGATTGATGAGAGAGAAAAAAATGTTTTAATCAATTTTAGAATAAGGCTGTAACGTAACAAAATGTGGAAAAAGTCAAGGGGTCTGAATACTTTCCGAAGGCACTATATGTCTGTGTATGTAAATGTATGTATGCATGCGCACACACATGTGCGCACACACACACACACACATATGTATATACATACAGTGGGGAAAAAAAGTATTTAGTCAGCCACCAATTGTGCAAGTTCTCCCACTTAAAAAGATGAGGCCTGTAATTTTCATCATAGGTACACGTCAACTATGACAGACAAATTGAGAAGAAAAAAAATCCAGAAAATCACATTGTAGGATTTTTAATGAATTTATTTGCAAATTATGGTGGAAAATAAGTATTTGGTCACCTACAAACAAGCAAGATTTCTGGCTCTCACAGACCTGTAACTTCTTCTTTAAGAGGCTCCTCTGTCCTCCACTCGTTACCTGTATTGATGGCACCTGTTTGAACTTGTTATCAGTATAAAAGACACCTGTCCACAACCTCAAACAGTCACACTCCAAACTCCACTATGGCCAAGACCAAAGAGCTGTCAAAGGACACCAGAAACAAAATTGTAGACCTGCACCAGGCTGGGAAGACTGAATCTGCAATAGGTAAGCAGCTTGGTTTGAAGAAATCAACTGTGGGAGCAATTATTAGGAAATGGAAGACATACAAGACCACTGATAATCTCCCTCGATCTGGGGCTCCACGCAAGATCTCACCCCGTGGGGTCAAAATGATCACAAGAACGGTGAGCAAAAATCCCAGAACCACACGGGGGGACCTAGTGAATGACCTGCAGAGAGCTGGGACCAAAGTAACAAAGCCTACCATCAGTAACACACTACGCCGCCAGGGACTCAAATCCTGCAGTGCCAGACGTGTCCCCCTGCTTAAGCCAGTACATGTCCAGGCCCGTCTGAAGTTTGCTAGAGTGCATTTGGATGATCCAGAAGAGGATTGGGAGAAAGTCATATGGTCAGATGAAACCAAAATAGAACTTTTTGGTAAAAACTCAACTTGTCGTGTTTGGAGGACAAAGAATGCTGAGTTGCATCCAAAGAACACCATACCTACTGTGAAGCATGGGGGTGGAAACATCATGCTTTGGGGCTGTTTTTCTGCAAAGGGACCAGGACGACTGATCCGTGTAAAGGAAAGAATGAATGGGGCCATGTATCGTGAGATTTTGAGTGAAAACCTCCTTCCATCAGCAAGGGCATTGAAGATGAAACGTGGCTGGGTCTTTCAGCATGACAATGATCCCAAACACACCGCCCGGGCAACGAAGGAGTGGCTTCGTAAGAAGCATTTCAAGGTCCTGGAGTGGCCTAGCCAGTCTCCAGATTTCAACCCCATAGAAAATCTTTGGAGGGAGTTGAAAGTCCGTGTTGCCCAGCGACAGCCCCAAAACGTCACTGCTCTAGAGGAGATCTGCATGGAGGAATGGGCCAAAATACCAGCAACAGTGTGTGAAAACCTTGTGAAGACTTACAGAAAACGTTTGACCTGTGTCATTGCCAACAAAGGGTATATAACAAAGTAGAGAAACGTTTGTTATTGACCAAATACTTATTTTCCACCATAATTTGCAAATAAATTCATAAAAAATCCTACAATGTGATTTTCTGGATTTTTTCCCCTCATTTTGTCTGTCATAGTTGACATGTACCTATGATGAAAATTACAGGCCTCTCTCATCTTTTTAAGTGGGAGAACTTGCACAATTGGTGGCTGACTAAATACTTTTTCCCCCCACTGTATATACACATATATATATACACATACATATATACATATATACATATAGATAGAGATATATATATATATAGATGATAGATATATACACACACATACATATATACATATATATATATACATATATATATATATATATATACACACATACATATATACATATATACATATATATATATACACACACACACACACACACACACACACAAAACCGGTCAAACATTTTAGAACACATATTATGGCAAGAACAGCTCAAATAAGCAAAGAGAAACAACAGTCCATAATACTTTAAGACATGAAGGTCAGTCAATACGGAACATTTCAAGAACATTGAACGTTTCTTCAAGTGCAATCGCAAAAACCATCAAGCGCTATGTTGAAACTGGCTCTCATGAGGACCGCCACAGGAATGGAAGACCAAGAGTTACCTCTACTGCAGAGGATAAGTTCATTAGAGTTAACAGCCACAGAAATTGCAGCCCAAATAAATGCTTCACAGAGTTCAAGTAACAGACACATCTCAACATCAACTGTTCAGAGGAGACTGTGTGAATCACGCCTTCATGGTCGAATTGCTGCAAAGAAACCACTCCTAAAGGACACCAATAAGAAGAAGAGACTTGCTTGGGCCAAGAAACACGAGCAATGGACATTAGACCAGTGGAAATGTGTGCTTTGGTCTGGAGTCCAAATTTGAGATTTTTGGTTCCAACCGCCGTGTCTTTGTGAGACGTGGTGTGGGTGAACGGATGATCTCCGCATGTGTAGTTCCCACCGTAAAGCATGATGGAGGAGGTGTTATGGTGTGGGAGTGCTTTGCTGGTGACACTGTCTGTGATTTATTTAAAATTCAAGGTACACTTAACCAGCATGGCTACCACAGCATTCTTGCAGCGATAAGCCATCCCATCTG